CAGCTTAGTGGCATAAGTGTCTGCCTGGCAAGTACAAGATCCTGAGTTCAATTCCAGGTACAAATAAAAGTAGTATGATAGAATGCAAAATTCTGCTATCTGTTGTCAGTGAATACCAGCTCCCTCTTGTCATTCTTTCTTCTTTCCCTCCCCTCCCCTTTTTACACTATCGGTTCCCCCAAATTCCACCACATATTTCAACTTGTCATTTTGTTGAATCTTAGCATAGTATATTTTGTTAGCAGATGAACTAAATAAAACATAAAGGGTTGCTTCATGGGTTTCAGTGGTTGCAGAGAGAAGGATTATGCAGAAAATAAGTTCCAGGATGATTTTTTAAGGACATCTGAAATATGAGCACCAACCTTCATACAAGCCCAAGTCAAGATTCAACCAGACTCATGAACTTAGTTCCTATTGCAGGATGGACATACTGAATTATAAAATATTATTCATATATAATTAAACATAAATACATATTATTGACATTAATACTCAAAACAAATGATAATATAAATTATGATTAAGTATTTGTAAATATCCAATTGGGGGCCTTTTGACAAGAAGTAAACTCCTATGTAAACAGATGAACTCAAGACTCAGAGCCACACAACCAATCAGAGTACAGACACCACATGACTAATGTGCATACAAATGGACACGACTGTGTCTACCATGAATCTTCATCATCCAGTATGTCATGTGCTGTAACAGACTTGATTAATGTACCCATATGAAATAAATATTTTCTGAGTTTTGGTGCCTGCCATCTTTCATCGCTTTTGTGGTAGCACTGCTCTTAACTGTCATCATTTTTGTTGCCACTCCTGTCTCCTACGTCTTCAATTAACACTTGATTTAATAGAAACCTCATGAAGCCCAGCCTGGGAGAGATTGCACCTTGGTTGAAGAATGCATGGGACAAAGCCCCTGAGAGCTGTGCTGCTAATGCGCTACGAGCAGGCTGCATGGACAGAAGTGCTCATTTGTGCAGAGCTCCAGTACTGGAGACTCAGGCCAGTGCTTGTACAGGAAATGGAGCCACAAGAAATACAGGTTGGAATTTGAGGTTTGGAGAGTTTTAACAATGTTCAGAAGATGATGACATGAATGCATTTGAATAAATATAGATTTCTGTATGTGAATAAATGTAGAGTTTTATACACGAAGAGGTAAGATATCTCCTGAAAATAAGCCCGATGAAACCTTTTGCAGCAGAAATTAATACAAGATATAGTCTTAATTTTAGAGAAATACAGTTATAGGCCATAAATTAATGGATTAGTGAAATCAAGAGCAGGGGATTATAAATCTACCCTTAGGGCCTTGAGCAGACAGAGACAGTGCAGTAAGAATTGCCAAAATAATTTAGGATCTGTCAGTAAAAGAATAGGCCTGGGGGTCAGGAAAGCTAATGCAATAAGGACAGAGTTTCAATTATCAATTTAAGAAGTCTAGCTTCAGTGCTCAGAAATTTCAGTTTCCAAATGATTAAAACGGCCCAAATATTTTTGAAGATCCTACTGGAACAAGACTGATTTCCTGCCACATGCCATTGACTTAGAGTGGTGAACTTATATTTTATTTTAGTTATTTATGTATGTATATATCCATTTATTTATTTTTTGTGGAACCAGGGATTGAACTTAGGCCCTTCTGCTTGCCAGGGAAGCACTTATTCTACTGAGCCATCTCCCCGGCCTGTGAACTTACATTTGAGATGGACTCCTTCTTTCTGAAAATGTACTAAATGCTCCAAGAGTTAACATATCCCACCACCACTAAAGATAAGGTGCATACAAACTGTTTCGAAACTAATTCATCTAGCACAGCTATTTGTATTCTTCAACTCAGGCCCACATTTTCTTTTATCTGGTTTTCATTATTAAGACTGCTAAAGTATTGGAAGACACTTACTGGGAAAACACAGAGGTGACCTCACAATTTCCTAGGAATTCAGACTTCCCAGCTTACAGTCGCAGGAGCACTCTTTGTAATAATCTAGTTAGAAAATAAGAGGATTAATATGCCAAGGAGAGCCTTCTCCTCCATAGTTCACTCTTTTCTTTGTATGCTTTGTGACATTATTAGAAATCTATGTTCAGGGCCGGGGAGATGGCTCAGTAGAATAAGCGCTTCCCTGGCAGGACCTGAGTTCAATCCCCGGTTCCGAAAAAAAAAAAAAAAAAATCTATGTTCATAAATGTATTGCATCTTCCCATAAAACTAATAATTAATGTACATGCACATTTGATAACAGAATAAAGTACTCCATCTGCTACCAAAAAGTACTTCTATCATAAAAAGTGAATATAGGGTGAATAATGTAAGTTTGTTTTATGACTTGTAAAAACTGTACTTATGTCTCGATTCAATGCTGGTTTTAATTTTTTCCTGCCAAACTAGTAGTTAATTCATATTCATTGATATAAAGTAAAAAATTAGATTATAATATTAGAGTATCTTAAGAAAAATTTAAGATTTACTGACAAATATTTTTGAAATAGATCACATACTTTTCTTTTAATTAATAAAATTATATAAGAATACTTTTGGATTTTTTACTTGAAAAAAACTGGCAGCTATTAGAATATAAGAAGCTGGGGGCCAGGGAGACGGCTCAGTGGAATAAGCGCTTCCCCTGCAAGCACAAGGGCCTGAGTTCAATCCCTGGTTCTGGGGAAAAAAAAAAAATAGTTGTAGCTCCCAGAAGAAGCTGGGGGCCAGGGAGATGGCTCAGTAGAATAAGCGCTTCCCTGGCAAGCACAAGGGCCTGAGTTCAATCCCTGGTTCCGAAAAAAAAAAAAAAAAAAAAGAATATAGGAAGTAAATACTACATTTAGACTCAGTTTATATATTTCTTTAAATATGTTTTACAATTTTTGTAAGGCTTTATAAAAATTTTGAACACAGTACAAATTTTTAGGATTCTAGAAACTAGTAAGGTAATAACTTTTTAAAAAATAATCATTATAAAAACATTTTATCCTTCAAAAGAGATTTCTCATTCTTATTTTTCTCTTTAACTAGGCGTTGGTGACCTTTCTGGTTAGGCAATAATAAATTTCATAACCAAGACAAAGTTTCCCAGTGATTTATATTTGTTTCAAAATAAAATGGTTCTCTCTGTAGACAAAATGAATTTATAAATTTTCATGAATTTATTCACTGCTTGGAAATATCTTACATCACTCAAGTCAAAGGACACTGAAGTGCTGTATCTTTCGTATTATATGTGAAATCTATAATAGCTAAAATGTATACAATTTATTCATATACCTTCATTTGTACCAAGAGAGTAGAGTTCTATAACAGGATATTTTCCTCATGATTCTATGTTTTATAGTTTAAATAAAAAATTAAAATAGGGCTGGAGAGATGGCTCAGTGGTCTAAAGCACCTACTTGAAACAAGCTTGGCAAAGCACAGGGACCGCGGTTCGATCCCCAGCACCACATGCCAGCCAGACCCGCCCCCTGGTGGGCTGAGCTGGCCACACACACACACACACACACACAATAAATAAATGTAATAAATAAAAAATAAATAACAAAAAAAAATTAAAATAAATCTCCTTAATATGTTAATGTTTGAAATACTCTAGGCAGTGTAACTTAGCATTCAGAATCAGCAATAACCCCCAAAGATTTTAAAGTATAGACTGGAAGAAACAACAATTACAGTGTCATAAGAGGCTATATATATTTAGTGTTTAATATATAGTGTTAATATATTATACATATGTTATATAGTATGTTTCATATAAATACCAGCATGATAGCTCATGTTCAAAATTTCAGCTATGGTAGTCCTCCATGTTCTATACTCTAGGTAACTCCTACTTTTACGGGTCTTACTTTAAAGAAAATAAAATAATTTTAAAATCTTCATTTGCCTAACTGCTACATAAGATCTAAAAATTAGACCAGTAGGCAGAATGGTAGCAAAGAAAAAAAAGGGGGCTAAGGAACCCTTCAACAAAGAAGGGGCAGAGAAAACATAAGATTGCGCTATACTTGAGCTCAGGTTTGTATGTGCTCTAGTACTGTCCTTTCAGCCAGGGAGCTCTGTAAGGTTCCACAGAACTCTCCTCCGACCCAATGGAAACACACTGTGTGATGTTGGCTTAACCAGCACGGTACCACTTGGGAAAACTACCAGACCAAATTAATGTAAGTACAGTCTTTTCTTCAAACCTCATTTCTCTTATCCATAAGACACATTCCAAGTTCTCAAGAGTATAACGTTGGGGGGCCTGCCTCTTAGCTCAGGGGGCCTGCCCCTTAGCTCAGTTCTTTAAGTGGCTGCTTCAACAAAGCAGTCAGGCTCTGGTTGCTGTGCTTCGATCCCCACAAGTCAAGCCAGCCAAACCTGCCCTGAAAGAGTATAACTTTGTACTGAGACATTTCTATATTGGTTTTTTATTTATTTTATTTATTTTTTTTTGCAGAATTGAGGACTGAACTCAGGTCCTTGTATATTGCTATAAGGTATGACGGTTAAAGATTTTAAGACTGTTATACGTTATACTCATTCTTAAATCTATTTTAATTAAGGTAGCTAAAAGAATTGATCTGTAGCATAACCAAAAAAGGTTATTTTACCAAGGTGCTGAAACATAAATGACAAATTTTAGAGTGTATGGATGCAAGAAGCTTGATGGAGAAATTTGTATACTATCTAAATACTGTATTTCCTGTGAGAAGAGATAAGAAAATATCTAGGGCAATCTAGGTATTCTTTGAAATATTCTAACATTTTTTGAGCTTAACACCTGAAGTTTTGGAGAATTCACTATGTCTAATCAGATGTGCAAATTAAAATAAGTGGTATTATTATAGAAACTATTAAAGTCACAGCAGTAAGAAAACTTTTCGGGATAATCCAGTTTTAATTTCCTCAGTAGCTTCTCTGCATGAAAATGTCCTTCAAGCCCAAGGAACCAAAATAATTCTACAGCAAAAGGATATTCTTTTTTATGATATAGAAGAATTACTTACCTTTGTGGAATATAGAACATATGTTGAGGAGGTGGTTTATAAAGGACTCCTTCATACACAGGCCAGAGCCCACTTAAAATTCTGAAGAGAGAGCTTTTTCCACAACCATTGGGACCAGTTATCAAAAGATGCATTCCTTCTTGTACCTAACATCAAAAATAAAATTAGAAACTGCAATATTTAAAAATAATTTCTTTTGACAACATTTCAAAGTGATTTAATTTTTTAAAAAGCATTCCATTACATGATCACCTTGAATGAACAAGAAATAAAAAAAATACTGGGGTAAGCGCATCAAGTTTGGCTGCGGCAATTCTTTTAAGGCCAAAAACACCATAAAATAGTTTAATTGCAAAGAAAATGAATCTTCTTGGAATAAGTACTGACTTTCCAACATTTTAATTGAAGTATTTTTATCAGATATAGATACATACAAAGAAATAAAACAAATCATAAAATTTGTTAAAAGACAAATCATACAATTTAAATTAAATATATTAAGTTTAGGGCATTTATATTAATATTTGACTCCGTTTACAGTGACTAAGCCATAACTGAGAGGTGATGATTCTCTGAAGCACAGCCACTTGAAGGGCCAGCTAAGGGGCTTCATTTGTACTTCAGCAGTGTGAAACACTTCAGAAACCACAAAATGTACAATCAACGAGAGAAGCTGACGCTAATTCTGCTTTATTCACAGATGTAGAAAACCAACAGGAAAGCAAAAATTGCAACTGAGTTTTAGGTCCAGGGATGAATTAAAACATACTGTCATTCATCTTTATGCACAGGTTCTGCTTCTAAGGATTCAAGCATCTGTGCATAAAAATAGCTGCGGCCAAACTGCATCTGCACTGGATGTGTTTAGATTTTTTCATGAGTGCCACCCCAATGAAAGGACTTGAGCGTCAGCACATTTTGGTATCGGCAGGTGTCTCTGCAGCTATTCCCCAAGGATAGATGGAAAACAGTATGAATACAAATAATGTGTCATATCTGTATACATAAATAGGCCATGTCTATAGTATCCATCAAGAAAACAGAAGTTGTTTATTGGCTACTGGAGTCTTCCTTTTATCTTCTATATTATTTATTATTTAAATAGTTAAATTTCATGAGTTTCTATTTCATTCAGCAGTAAAGAAGAATTGTCTTGTTATGGTATTTAAAGGGTAGTGTAAAGAACAATCAAGAGGAATGCATTAAAATTTTCATTTTTATCTGATAAGAACAAATAATGTTTTATAATAAGTGATATAAAAATGAATACATTTTGAAGCCACAAGAGCTGGAAATCTACAGGACACATATAAGCGTAATTTTGTATTCAATGGTAATACAAAGTGTTTATGTCCAAGTGTCAGTGATGTATAATACATCATATTGAAACCTCAAAGATGAAAGAGTGTTATACTACTAATATCCCAAGAAAATTTGCTCACTGAAAGGAAAGGTACATGCCTATATTGTTCGATCAGTTTTTCATGCCTATATCTTACAATATGAGCAACTACTTTGAAGATAATATACAATGTACTAACCACTGCTATTGTCCTACAATCTTGTTTTGCAATTTTATTGTTGGTTTTTTTTTTTGTGGAACCAGGGATTGAACTCAGGCCCTTGTGCTTACCAATGAAGCACTTATTCCACTGAGCCATCTCCCCAGCCCTTGTTTTGCAATTTTATAACACTGTTTTTGTTGTTTAGTTTTTGTTAAAATTAAAAAAAGACCTTGCCTGGCAAGCGCAGGGTCCTGAGTTCAATCCCTGGTACCGCAATAAGTAAATACATAAATAAATAAAGCTACAGATTTTCAAAACAAAATGATAGGAAATTAAAGGTGGTTATTGTACTACATGTTGTTATATTAAAAGTAGTTGGTCAGATTAAAGATATCAGAGTGCAAAATTGATTAAACAATATAAGCACTATCCTGTCTCTTAAGTTTTAAAACATGTTCTTTCTTACTTTTTATAAAGAAGGAAATTCAAAACAATGCTGACTATAGGAGGGGACATACTTGTTTCTGACTTAGGGGGGAAACTACATAGTATTTTAACTTAAAGTATGACATTATCTGGTTTTTCATAAGCATCTTTATCAGGTTGAAAACATTTTAGTGTTTTTGATATTCTTTGAGATTTTTTAAGCTGTCAGTGGACACCAAGAGTTTTGCAAACGTTTTGTCTACATCTATTCAGATAATCAGGTAATTTCTGCCTTTTATTGTTATTACTGAAAGTAACAGTGATGAATTTATAATGTCAAACAACCCCATCTTCCTTAAATAAAGTCCACCTGGTCATGACGAGAAAAAGAAAGAAAAAGAAACTAGAAAGAATTAATTTGCTTGTTTTCTTTCACTAGAGAAGATTGAAGTGTAAATTTTAGAAGTATAAATACTTTCAAATGATTTTTTTAAAGGTAACCTGCAAAAGCGAAAAGCACATTCATGAACCTATTTTAATATGGTCAGTTTCTCTTAGGAATGTGCAGAAATTTAACCCTTTTTGAGTGGTAATTGAAGACTTCTTACATTTGTATTTTCTCAGCACAAATTACCCAATGCCTCTAAATAACATGTTCCAGAAAAAAAGAATTCCTACATTTATTGAATTTTCTTCTGCAAATTATACTTCAAATTTGATGGCTAAAAAAGTTGAAAATCTCTTCTAGAAACGTACTTATCTGCACTGATACAGAAGAAATACAAATTTCTATCATGTGTTAGAGACTCAAGAACTAAAATATACCTTCCTATCTAAGAAATAATTATCAAGCAGTATACTATAAAAGTGTGTATCTTTCCAGGACTTCAATGTTCACAGATCTTCCACTAGATTAAGTAGGTTTAGTTCATTTTATAGAAAAGAATCAGAGCTTGAGTGTGATACTTGATCCTATCTGGTTCATAAATGTGACAACTGGGTAATTCACCCCTTTGTGTGACATGTACCTCCCTAGACTTGGACACGGCATCAAAACCTGATGTATGGTAAGGGGAGAACAAAAGAAAAGGGACAGAAAAAAAGATTCCACTTTATCTATTCAAATAAATGAAGCAACAAGAATGGATATCATAATACCTAACTAGACCAAAAGGAAAACAAACAACTAGAGAAACGTCCTAAGTGACCACTGGCCATGTTGCTAACAGCTAAGTCCATAGTGGCATGTGGCATGAGTACCTACTCTCCTGCGGCTCAGGGCATCTCACCCCTCCATTTCGCTTCCAGCAACTCATCTCCTCTGTAAACGCATCTTCAATAATTAAGCCCAACTGAGGTCCATTTTAAAATCATCAGTACATGTGCTGTCAGATTTTAAATCTGATGATCCAGTTCAGTTTTTGGACTTGTTTGAACTAAGCTCAACTTGTTTTGCTACTACAGTCAAACAAAGTGTATGTTTGAATTGTGCAGTGTCTTAAATCAGGGCCTCAGGTTTCTTTGAATATTTTAAGTCTTGGTTTTTGTAATTAGTATGTGGGACAATAAATAAATTATTCTTCACAAAATTAAAAACTAAATTTGAATCCATGAATGTTATGATTATTGCTAACAATAAATGTGACTACTTGAGTGGGAATTGAGAAAGTGTAGCAGAATTAAACCTAAACTTGACCTTTACGTTCATATTTTAATAAGTATGCTATACTATAATCTTGTATTTTTAAAATTTCTATAAAGAAAATATTTGAATTTCCAGATGCTAGTTTCTGAGAAAACATCTTATTGTCCTCCAAAGCTACCTTGACTAGGCTCAGTGCACTCTGATTTTGATTTTCAACCTGGTAATAAAGCAGCAGAAGTCAAATTCCTCTGCTTTCTGGGGAAGTAACTGCTTCTGTAATCGAGCCACTGTGCATACCTTTCTGGATTTCCCCTCCTTTCCACATGCTCCTCCAAGTATATAACTTAAGGTACATGAATTCTGAAGTTGTTTTGTATTAGTGTGATGGCAACAATCAGAAGGTTCTTGAATATCATCTTACTTTGAAGTTTAGCCTCGAAGCCACCACTTCTCCTGCTGGTGTGATTATGGGAACATTTTCACAAATAATGTCATGATCCACATCAATAACTTTTCCTATAATTAAGGAAATAATTTCAGTTACAAAAGTAATCCCAAGTTACTTCTAATGACATGAAGTTAAATGCAGCATAGTGAATCAACTATAAGGATAATTCATATAGTAATAAGGCAAAAGAAAAATATGAGAATCTATATATGAAAATCTAATGTAAACTTGGATATTTTGCCATATGTTTAGAAAATCTTTCTGAGAAACACGATTTGATAACAGCCTAAGGTCAACATCATTACGATTGCACAGCTACCCTAATTTGCTGTACTCCAGTCAAACATGGCACAACTAGTCTACTTCCCGGAATAAGCTCTTTAGACAAAAAAATACAATGATGCAAAAAGTACATTAAGAAATAGACTAATACATATTAAAACATGATAATAAAAACAAGCTTAAAACAAAGCAAATAAAAAACCAATGCTGGTTCTGATTCTGTTAGTTGAATTTTAAAAGCAAACATTTTATTCTGCCATATGTGCTCTTTCTGAAGATAGCTAGAAAATTTTTTCTAATGAAATATAATATTTTTAGGGTAATATTATTTATTAGTCATCACCCTTCAAATTATAACACTAATTTTAGGGATAGCTGTTTAGTATTGGTTTTCTAAATGTACCTAGCTTGAAACTATTAAAGTCTATTTTTTAAAAAGACTGGTTCAATTGATAAGATAAGACTTTGACAGGATGATGCTGAAACGCTTGGCTTTCGTACCTTTAATGGCTAGTGTGTCGCTGAGGGGTAAGTCTATGTTAGTTTCACTCTTGCTACGATTTTCGGGCTCTTCAGTGGTAGCCGTTCTCTTATAAATGCCTCTTTTTACTTCATTAAAGACCCAAAACATATTGTACACTCGAGCAGTATAGCCTGCTAATTCAGTGACCTAAAGTCAATACACAAAGAGAAAATAGGCTTAATATATCTTACACAGACTTTTAAATTCATATGTAATTATGTAAGCTTGAATTAATGTTAAAGATTGCATTTATTACACATGAGAAACAGTACGTCTAATAAGTAAAACAACAGCAAAAAACTCACCAATAGAGTAATATGGCAAGATGTCAACATAAGCTTGATTGGGTTGTAAAGCACATAAAATCTATTCATCCTCATTATGGATCAAAACGAGGTGTGAACATTTCAGAATATTCTTTCTTTTTTTAAAAAATGTATTTGGTACAGCATCTGCAGGGTCTACAGGGTCTCATTACCCAGATTGCACTCGTAGTGATTCTCCTGTTTTCAGCCTCCCAAGCACTGGGATTACAGGCTTGTGTCACCACACCGAGTCTCAATTGCTATCTCAGTGCTCCCTGGGGGCAGGACTGGCACGGCATGCAGGGGACTGAACCCTGGCCACTGCGCTCTGCCTAAGCAGTTGCTTTAGCCTGCTGAGCTATCTAGCTGGCCCCAGAATATTATTTATTCTTAAGGATCTTCTACTCAAATATCTAACTTGGCTCTTGTTCATGTGACAAATTTTACTTCCAGAAAGCTAGAAAGTTTGTAAAAAAAATTCAATGAAATGACAATCCTTTGTCTTTGGTCTCTCTTTTTTTTTTTTTTTTTTTTTTTCCTATTTACTGTAGAAGATTTTAAATTAAAGAAAAGCACTTTTTCCTTATTTATGAAATGAGTGTGTCTAAGCCAAACTGACTGCCAACACGGCTATGGGGCCAGAGAAAAATCTGTGCCAGAGGGTAGCAGTTTTGAAAGTGAGCTCAGTGAAAAGCTTCTGCACTTCTCGGTACTAATCCAAGCTTCATTGAAGCCAAATGTGATTCACACTGCAAAAGAAAAATACTAAATATGTGGGCTTTTTTTCTAGGCAAGGTTACAAAAAATTAATAAATCTTGGCCTCAGCCCATCAGGTGCCTCCCTGGTCCTGTTCTTCCAGCTGTCCAACTTTAGTTAACATCCTGCCGTTTTTCTACATAGGACAAGGCCTGTTACCAGTTACTGTGATAGTCAACTCATCTCTTATCTAGGCCATTTTTCTCAATGAAAGAAAAGCACAAAAAATGGGAAACTGATATGAGTAAACAAGGCCTGTTACTAAATTATAATGTGTAACACACAAGTTGTACAAAGAGATAAAGACAGAGAAGGTAAACCCACCCTGTGCATGGAAGATGAGGAGCAGGTGAAGGAGCAAGAAGCTTTTATACATGATTACTGAGATTTCACAGTGAAGGATGAGTGATACTTTTCTAGATAAAGAAAAAATATTTCTTCCCCGGCACCATATGCCATACCAGCCTCACCCCTGGGGTGCGCTGAGACAGCAACTGAGACTGGGCATAGCAGTACCTGCCTGGAATCCCCGTGCTTGGGAGGATGACTATGAGTCTGATCTCTGTAGTGAGACCCTGTAGACACTTTACTTAAACACATTTAAAAAAAGAAGTGCTATTCTTCACTGACACTTATTGAATGATAAGTATATGCTGTCTTAAGTATTTCACATGCATGAACTCACAACAGCCATACAAAGTCAGTACTCTTGTTATTCCCGTTTCACAGACAGAGCAGAGCTTGGCCACAGTCAGATAATTTGTAAGTGCTGAAATAAGAATGTAAACTTAGGCATTCTGAGTTGAGCCTACAGATGACAAATTTTTTTACAATGAAAAAACAAATATACTACAGGCAAGAAAAAGAGGGAAAATAAAGAGTTCAGCAGCAACACCATTAAGAGACGTTGTTCGTCTTGATTATCCTCAGTGGCTTTTGTTAGAGAAAAGATATGCCCCCCAAATACTAAGGAGATCTGTTAATTATATTTTGCTTGATTTTCTTTTTCTTTTTCTTTTTTTTGGTGGAACCAGGGATTGAACTCAGGCCCTGGTGCTTGTCAGGGAAGTGCTTATTCCACTGAGCCATCTCCCTGGCCCCTGTGCTTGATTTTCATACGGCACATTTTATTTTATCAAGCTGACCACAAATGCAGGTACCTCTTTGTATGAAGACATGATCCTTTCAATAGCATCAGCTCCGGAAGCCAACAAATTTCGAGCAGTGGTAAAGGCTTCTGTCCGTTCACTAACCATCGCTTGTTTCTGGCCATCCTCTAGATCTAAAAGCAAATTCCAAAACTACTGAGTTTTTCCAACTAATTAAATGTCTTATTTTATATAAATGATACACCATTTAATAAAACTTAGGCATTCTTGGGTATGTCCCCAAAAGAATTAAAGACAACACACCACAGTGATATATTCCTACTTTTATTGTGGCCCAATTCATAATAGCACAGCTGTGTAAACAGCTTAGATGCCTCTCAGAAAAATGGGTAAAGAAAATATGGTGCATATATGCACAAGGGAATACTAATCAGCCATGCAGAAGAATGAAATTGTGTCATTCACAGAAAAATGGGTAGATGTGGAGACTATAATATTAAGGGAAATACCACACAATTATAAAGGTAGATATCGCGTATATTCTTTACAAAAAAAACAGGAACACACACATATAAGCAAACAAAAAATAAAGACCAGGAAACTGAACTTTCAGGAGACAAGGAAGAGAATTAAAAAGGAGGAGGGAAAAAAGACATAGGAGATTTTCAGTGAGATTGAAACTCATGAAGCTGGGCCAAGGATGTAGCTCAGCTGCACAAACACCTGCTTGGCTAGCGTAAGGTCCCCAGTTTGATTCCCAGTAGCAAAAAAAAAAAAAAAAAAAAAGTAAAGAAAAGAAAATCACGAAGCTCTGTTATATCTGTTACATGCATGGGCAAGTATACCTAACATTACTATTTAGCTTTACTAACAAGCATTGATTTAAAAGACAAAGTTAACTCCATATCAGATTTGCTCCGTATCATACCTAGTAAACTGAACAGTTGCCATTTGAACCCAGGTCGTCTGACTCTAGAGCCCACAGGTAAGAAAATAATAAATACAGGGGCTGGGGAGATAGCTCAGTAGAATAAGCACTTGCCTGGCAATGCAGGGTCCTGAGTTCAATCCTCAGTACCACACACACACACAAAAATAATAATAATAATAAATACAGGCAATTGCTTCCACCTAAATATTTACAACTGGCCAAGGACTGTTTCAAAGTACATTAAGTAAATTATATGCAATTTCACAATAAATTTTAATGATATATATTATTATGATTAATAATAATAATAAATACAGGCAATTGCTTCCACCTAAATATTTACAACTGGCCAAGGACTGTTTCAAAGTACATTAAGTAAATTATATGTAATTTCACAATAAATTTTAATGATATATATTATTATGATTAATAATATTCAAAAATAAGGGCCTATAAAATTTATGTCATTTCCGCAAGGGTGAGTGACTACTAAATAGCAAAATTTGAGGACTGGGGAGGCAGCTCAGCAATGTAAGCGCCTGCCTGGCAAGTGCAAAGACTTCAGTTCAATCCCTAGTACCACATGCTGTGCCAGCCCAGAACCTTGGGCGCACTAAGCCAGCCACCAAAACTGAGCATGATGGCACATACTTGTAATCTGGGGAGGATGAGACAGGAGGCTCACTATGAGCTTGAGCTGTGTAGTGAGACCCTGTTGCCAAATACATAAATAAATCAAAAAATAAAAAAAATTGAATATCACTTTTTTGTTTTGAGACAGGGTCTCACTGTGTAGCCCAGGCTGGCCTTAAACTTGTAGCTACCCTCCCACCTCAGCCTTCTGAGTGCTGGGATTACAGCCCTGTGCCACCACACCCAGCTTGTTTTTGTCTTTTTCCTATTGCCTTTTTCCTCCCCATCCTACTTCTCCTTTTCTGTTTGCTACTCTCTCAATCACTCATCTTGTACTTCCTTTTGCCTTAAAGTGTAAGTAATATGGATTTACTTCTAACAGAAGAGAAATTGAAGTGATGAAGTCTAAATTAAAATAGAAGATTATGTTAGAAAATACAACATTTAATTCTCAGACTTAAACCTTAAAGATATATCATTTTCTATAAAATTATTTTATTAAAGTCAAACTATATTTTCACATGTTACTTTTAGGTCAAGTATATCTAGTGAATTTATGCATATGCTTACAAATATAAAACATATAATAACAGATATTAGAGATTTTGAAGCATACTCTCAAAGAATATTGTCATGATTTGATTTTTTCTTCTCTAAAACTTTTACATTGCTCTTCTCTGTATAAAATCTTTTTAAAAAAGCTTTAAGATACACTTTGTTTCACTTGCAGCAATGGGATTACCAAAATTTTGATCTAATATAATGTTCTTTGAATATGGTTTTTCAAAATTTATTTTTAAGTATCTTATTACAGCTTGCTAAGTAAGCTTGATAGATTCTTCATATGCACTGTTTACTTTTTACTAGTCTCTGTGGGGTTAATTTGCCACCATTAATAGCTACATTTTCTTTGTTCTGTTTGGTATACTCTAGGGTTTTCTAACAACCAAACACTGTTAACAGAAATACTCCATTATGGGATTGCCTCCAATTTACATTATACATAAACTTTTTAATGACTCTTTTTGTTTGTTTGTTTTGCAGTACTAGGGATTGATATCAGGGCCTTTCTGAACTATAGCTCCAGACCATATTTAATTTTTCTGTTTTGAGACAGGGTCTTGCTGACATCCTAAATTTCCCAGGCTGGCCTCAGACATGCCTCCTGCCTCAGCTTCCTAGAGTGCTGGGATTACAGTTGTGTGCCCCCACATCCGGATCAATGACTATTATCACCATCATCATTTTTCTCTTGAGACAGGGTCTTTCCATGTAGTTTAGGCTGGCTACACTATGGAACCCAGGCATGCCTCAAACTTTTAGTGATCTTCCTGTCTCAGCCTCCCACTGTTGGGATTATAGGTGGCACCACCGTGCCTGGTTTCAATGACTATTATCATGACTACCATTTTAATGAATATTTTGCCAAATTTCTCAGTAAACAAATCTTAAACTGTAGACTTTTAAGTGTCTTTTTTATATTCCAATACTCTTTTGAAAAGGTGTTTATTTCACCATGAAGGGTTTATAGCTAAAATATTATTACTAACAATATCTATTCAATATAAACTTAATGCTACTTTTTTGATGAATTTTGGAAATACACAAACAGATACAATTCAATTTTCCCAGTGGCAAATATGCTTCTATTAAAAAGTTCAGTTATAGAGTTTATTTGGTATAGAATGCTTACCATGAAGAACTGACAAATCATAATTTACTAAAGTGAACAGTTTTAGATAAAGAATGATTTGAAGTTAGAAATGCTAAAGCACTGAATCAGTGCTTCAAAATACTGAAAAAAACTAGATATTAACTTGTTTTTATTAGCTCACCCTAAACAAATATTGATCATTAGTTATACATCATAATAACTATAAAGATAGTATGAACTTTGCGACATTCTTGTTTTAGTAATTGTCACCATATATTAAAAAAACACACTCTGTAATTTATAGACATCATTCTATTAAATCTTAATGATAGTCCTTTGAAGGAGCCTTTCTGATTCTCATTTTATAGATAAGGAAACCAAAGCTTGGAAACACTCATGACTAAGAGGATCTGAACAGGAAGGGAAGGAGCCAAGAGTCGAGCAGAGCTCTTTCTAGCTATGAAGCCTGTGCATTCTTTCTGGTTCCTTCAACACTAAGCCCAATTTTGCTCAAGCGGCTTGCAAAGAGAGAAGATAATCTTTTATTTTGGACCAAGAGTAAAAACTACTGCTACTTCAATTAGTGATCCTTCAGTACCCACAGGGGATGGGGAACCTCTGGAGACACTAAATCTACAGGCGCCCCAAGTGCCTTACATAAATCAGGCTTGTAGTCGCATACATTTTACACACTTTAAATCATCTCTAGGTTACTTGTAACACATAATACAATATCGATACTACAGAAGTCATTACTCTACTGTATTCTTTAAGGAGTAATGACAAGAACAAAGTATGTGCTTGTTCAACACAGTTTTTCCAAATATTTTTGATCTGTGATAGGTTGAATTCTTGGATGTGAATTAGTAGACATGGAAAGCTGACAGTAATTTCCCTCCACTCCTGTCAAGTAAGGTTCAAACTCTTTTTTAAAATGAATTTAGGACAGGGTCTACAGGGTGTACAGGGTCTCACTACATAGATCGGACTCATAGTGATTCTTCTGTTTTCAGCGTCTCAAGTGCTGGGATTATAGGCATGTGCCACCTCGCCCAGTCTCAATGCCCATCTCAGTGTGCTCCAGGGGTGGGGCCGGCACAGCACACTGGGGATTAGACCCCAGCTGCTGCGCTCTGCCAAAGCAGGTGCTTTAGTTTGCTGACCTATCTGGCCGGCCCTTAAGATCCAAGCTCTTGTCCAATATTTTAACATTGTTTTCTTTGCCACTCTTTCTTAGTTACTCCAAAGGATGAAAAATGTTGGTAAAAACTGTGGTGGCAGTGACAGGGTAGAATTGGACTGCTATAGCTTGATAACTCCTGTACACCACATGACCAAATCATGCTGCCTAGGAAGTTATCTATGCTACCTACAAGTAGAGGAGACCTCATAACATGACATGTAAGAACTCTGAAAAAACATTCCTTATTATCTAACGTATTAAGCCAACTTTTCAAATAAAAACTCAGGGTAAATTCAGGTGTACAACATTACAGACTAAATGCATAGGACATTAACAGTAAAATATGTTCTTCTTGGTTATACTTTATACTTTTTTTGGAGGTACTGTTTTGAGGACACATGTAAGCTAGAGACTCATTCTGTATTAGCCAGTACAGTTAAAACTGCTCAAAACTGAATCACCAGAAACACTATCAGAGACCTCTACAATAACTCAGAATTGGAAAGGTCTTCTAATTCACTGGTCTCCCTTCTTTAATACTTCTGGTCTCCTTCCTGAACACTGCAAAGCCTGTCATTTTTTTCCAACCACTAAAACCAGAAAACTGGTTATATACAGTTTTATCCACCCAACGCTATCAATGACACCTTCAGGAGAAACAATATTAAGTATATATTTAATATTAAGCATAAATGTCATTACCACCATCTGCAAAGCCAGTTGCAGTGATAATAGGTATAGCCACCATAATTAGTCCACAGCCGCTCCAAACATACTTCATCAAGAACTGCTCTATCATGATGTACCACAAGCGTTTGGATAAAATAAGGTTCATCTGATCCGCTAAAGCTTTGTAACTTTTCTGGAGTTGCTTCATTTCTACCTAGAGGACAAAACAGATTAGAATTGACTATGAGTTATGAATAAACCACATACACCTGAGAGGACTTTATATAATTACATAGATATACTGTATTACTTTTAGTTAGTATAGAATATTTCAAGTCTTAACAAATAAAGGCAGATTAATGTAATAATTCCTTATTACTTAGTTTTGGTTACACTTGCATTATTTGAAAAATTACATATAAAATATATATAAACGGTCTGGAGCCACAGCTCAGTGGTACAACATTTGCTTAGCATGATATATGATTTATAGTTATGATTTCAAAGTTATAAGATGTTAACATTAAATATTGATATTTTGTAACATGTATAAACAATGTTAGATCCTTATTATTCTTTATTACATCAAAATATCTAAAAATAAACGTATGACATATATACATATATGATTAGACTTCACTTTTGAATTTATTCAATCTTGAATTTATATTTATGGAAGAATCTACAGAACACCAGAATTTATTTCATTGTCTTCATCTTCAATTATTCAAAAAATAATGGTAAATCAGCATAATTAATACAACATGCAAACTGAGGCCAAAGTTCAATGGGAGTAGAGGTTCTAAATTGTCCAGTTGGTTCTGGTAGTATAAAACTCTGATCATTAGAATACCATGTTCAACTTTAGAATAACTTAATATTTCATTTGCCAAGTCATTTCACGTGCATCACTTTCAATGTTTACTTTTATGCACTACAAGTTTATGTAGTTGGGTTAATTCAATATAACTTAAATACTATTCCAGAACTTCTTTTCTCCTATTCATTTATTCACTTATTTTAGTTTTTTTTTGTAAGCCAAGCAAAATTTAATTTCACCTCTTGAGTTAAAATGTTTGTGCTGAACACAAACTAAAAGTAATGAAAATGTCATTTTGTGAGACAGTCTGTTATAATTCTTACACCAGGACACAATGTATCAGCCAGGCAAAATTGTTATAATTGTCTTCTATATGGAAGCATGGAGTTTTCCCCCTCATCAGAAACAGAGAAACAACAACAAATATCCTCCTAAATTTTCTGTATCAATAGAAAGGTGTTTATTCTTAGTTTTCATATATATATATATAATATATTATATATATACACACATTTGTATTCTAAGACTATCTAACAAGTAGGATTTAAGTTTTAAGAAAATACTTTCAGATAATTTTTATTGTATTTGAGTAACTGAGTTTATACATTTTCTTCAAATGTTGAAATTTTATTCTGATAAAACCTTAATATCTGCACTTAGCATTCTTTAATAACTTGTGACTTAAAAGGACAATGAAGTACATATTTTAGTACAGGGTTAGATAGGAGAGGAATCCAAAATGCTAAGCAAGTATGCCTGTTAACAATATAGCAGATGGTATGGTATCTAGCACAACAGTGGCTAAACAGTCTCACATTTCACTCATCACCTTAATTTCCATCTTACCTTATGTCCTCTGTAAAAGGCAATTTCTTCCACATTGGCTATAATTCTGGAGTGTACATATCGCAAGTAGCCTTTTCTATGAGCTTCTTCAGCCACCAATTTACCAAATTTGGGCGAGCAGGCTTTCAACACTTTAGCAGTGGCATATATCACAAGTCCTGCTAACAAGGTGGGTCCAGTTGGGCTCGCACCTCTGGACGTAGCAGTCTGGATGAGTGTGTAGGAGGTTAGAATAACATCTAAAATAGGTTTGGTCAGGTTGGAATACAAATGGGCCACTGACTGGGAGAACATCATAATATCCTCAGTGAGAGACTGGTCAGGGTTGGCCAGTCTCCCATCCATATTGATCACCTTATAATAAGTCTGATTTGTAAAATAGGTTTCATAAGCGTAGTCTACAAGGCGAGTTCTGAAGGCCAAAGCCAACTTGCACTCCAGGTACCTTATTGCACTGTTGACGAAGGTGGCAGGAATGGCAATCATAAGCCACTTGACTATTTTGAAGATAAAAGTCCGAGGCTTCTTTTCCACAATGCTTTTCACGATTTTCCCATCCAGACCTGCCACATAGATAGACAAAAAGGTCCTTGAGATTAGAGCCACCGAGTGGAGGCAAAGCCACCCTGTTTCCGTGGTCACAAGTTTTGGAAAGAGAATTTTTCGAAGTTCTAGTAGCTGTTTGAAAAAATCTGCATTCACTCCAGGAGAAGGTTTTTTACAAATGGTCTCGGTGCAATGCAGTGCTTCGTTGTTCTCTGCAGCCCGGCAAGCTTCTTTTTTCTTCCCTTGGCCAGATTGCTTCAAACGCTTGCCAATGAGGGGATAGAGGGTTTTCAGAGCGTATGCCGCAGCCACCAGGCAGGCAGCCCTCTTAGCAACACCCGATCTGGTCCATTTCACTCGGTCAGAGGCTGCATTTAGCATATGTATCATTTTCTCAGTTACTCAAACCAGCTTCAAAAAGAATTCCTTTTAAAAGCTTGTGCTCCACGGGTACCCTCAGAAAATGTTTCAGAGAAGTGCTACAGCATCCCAATGCATTCGGCGTTTCTCCTCTACTGTTTATTATTTTGTTCTGCTGTGACAGATGCAGCAGGGCTCAGCCTCCACTGTGCGGAGGGAGGACGATTTCCTTAGAAGCTCTAGCTGCGCCAGGCTCCTCCCTCGCTGGCCCTTCATTGGCTGTGAGGACAGTGAGACCTTGGAATCCTTGCTGCTTCCCTTTGAACCTTGAAAATGAGGAGCGAGCAAAACGAATTACATCCTTAAACAGGAGTTCACAGAATCAACTATCTATTTTTGGAGAGGTCGAATCAGGCCAGTTGCTGGTGAACAAAACCTGCCCTAGCTACTGAGCATGCTCCACGTCACTTAGAGACCTGCACGAGTTTCAGAATATACATCCTTTCTCCAAAGATTTTTTTTTTTTTTTTTAAGAGACCACAAGGGGAAGATAAGCAGAAAGGAAGATTTGCAAGATCTCCGGTGAGACAAAGGAAAAGAAACCAGGGAGGTCAATGAGGAGGGACAGGAGGAGTGATATAAAGCAAATATGAAAAGGGGTCAGAGAAGAAAGTGACCACTGTGAGGGGCCCCGGAGAAAACAAACTATCAAGCACCAAACACTGAAATCTCCTCTCCTCTCTTCTCCCCTGCCCTTTCCTCTCCTTTAGTTTGTTTATGATTTCATATAAGGTCCTATGTAAGCCGAAACCGAGGGCGTTCATTGTATATAAATAGAGGAGTTGTCCCTAATATAGAAAACAATTCTTTACTACACCTGTAGTCTTTTTCTCTTTTCCTACCGTAGCCTTATATTTACTTCTCCTTACAGTAAGAATCTCCCAGCTTTGAATCTGTTATTTTTAGCAACAGAGCACTGATACATTCCTATTTGTTTACAAGGTGACTAGTAAACGAATGAGAGCAGTGTTTCCCTTCTGCCACTCCCTTGTGCTTTCACATGGACTTTGTATAGCTGTAAAATCAAAATGTAGCTCTTTGGGTGTACAACAGGAGTTGGGCAATGAAGGACAAAAGCTTTTTACTCCATAAAAGTTTTATTGGAATACAGTCACATTTATTTTCTTCTTGTCTGTTGCTTCACAGTCACATTTATTTTCTTCTTGTCTATTGCTTCTTTCATTCCCTAGCAGCAGTGGAGAGCAGCTCCAACAGACACTAAAATATTTACTATCTAGCCCTTTAGAGAAGTTTGCAAACCTCTGTACTAGAGTATAACACCTGCCCCAATGTTGAATGACCTTAATTTTTCAGTTTATTGTGAATGAAGTATTGTCCTCACTTTTATTAGTATAAACATTCTTAAATGTTTAAAAGCCTTTTTTGGTTATAATTCACGTATATTAATTACAAGGATGGCTGCATGGTTCTGCATTTGTTTACATCCAGTCTAGTGGATTTACTAATATAGCAGTGACAAATGTACACAAGTGTGATATCATATTTTTATCATTCCATTAAGACTTACTAAGCATAATATGGAACAGGTATTTTTCATCAAGTATTGATATGTTGAACTTTAAGTCCCTACAGAATATGATAAAAAACATTTAAAAGTTAGAA